TGCGGATGTGCTGCCACGAATCAGGTTTGGGAGGATGATGATGTTCTAAGCGGGAGGAGTTTACAGGGATTCATGGATGCGACGCTGGGAACTGCCAATATGGATCAGGCGGTACGTCTAGCAGCTATTTTCTGGGTATTATGGAATGCTCGAAATGATAAAGTGTGGAGAGAAGAGGTGAAGTCATCAGAGTCCTTGATCAACCAGGTTCAAGCGCTACAGAATCTCTGGAAATATGTACGTAAGCCACATGGGAATACGTCGTCAACAACGTCATCCACCACACTTTGGTCTCCTTCGCCACAAGCTTGGGTGAAGTGTAATGTGGATGCTGCCCTCTTTGGAGACAGCGCGGGTTTTGGCGCAGTGGTTCAAAACCATGAAGGTCTTTTCATCGCAACCCAAAGCGGAAGGTTGGGGTGTATAATTATATATTACTTTATAAATATTATACTATTATTTTTTTATCGGACAAAATTGTTCTTACATCATTGTTAGACATGTGCGGCCTAACTACAAAGTTGAGGATCATAAATACAAACTCTAAAACGGTAAGACCATTTTCTAAATAATTGACAATGTAAACATCCTACTAGCTCCAATTGAACAAGTTTACACATCAGAATTTTATCAATGCATGAAAACTTCTAAAGAAATTTGTAAGTTAATTTTTACTATATCATTATAACAATATCTATTGTAACCATATATTTTGAATTATTTATTATCATCATCTATTGACAATAATTGTAGCAATTGTCATTGACAAAAGTATGTACGACACTTTATTACTCTTATTAAATTAAATAAATTAGTAGCTACAACAAAAAATAATACATATGCATTTAATTAATTTAGAATTAGATATCTATAATACTTTATTTAAACAAAAATATTCATTACATAAAAATTTAAAAGAAATATAATTTCATTAGTTATATTATCTTTATTTTCTACAAGGAGATCTCAAGGGAATATTTATACACAAATGTAGAGTCTATGCATGGTAAGTTAGGTGGCGCTTAGCCAAGATCAGGGATAAGTAGGGCTGATGCGACCGCTGATTCCCTTCCTTTCCTGTCTGAATGAACTATGGAAACTACCAAACGAAGTAAAGATTGAGTCTAGAAGATCCGCTGGCACGCGTTTTGGGGAGTGTACCCAGCCGGGCATTGTACTGGCTGTGAGGGGATGCCTTCCTGGTCTCTTACCCCTGAGTAGGGATCTCTCTTCTGACAAGCCTGGTCGGCCGCCCGGTCCTGGGGAGTCGTGCGGTCGAGGACACGCCGCCCGCGTGACCTGGTCGCCCGTCCTAACCCGATGAGATGTAGGATCAGGGACACACCGATCATCGTGGCTGGTCGCCCGGAAGCATCCTCTTCGAGGGCCCGCTAGGGGAGGCACCGGCTGGCAGGCTGGCTGCTAGTAAATGCATCATGGACACAGTGGGCATCTTGTATCGTGACTAGGAAGCCCCTAGCAATTTCTTCTTTCTCACTTGATCAGCTACTGGTCTGGCTTCCTCCTATGGCCTCCCGTCCAGGCGGCTAATTTGGGGTATCTATCACCAGTCCCTCACTTTTTTAGATTTTAGTTGAGCCGTTTAACCTGAAAAAGTAAACAATAGAAAGCACAAGTTCGCTATAACGTTTTGGCCGTCTGTTTGTCTGTTCGTCAGGGGATGTACATTATTTTTGTACTGAGTGTACATTATATTCTATAATGTACATTCAGTACAAAAATAATGTACATTTAATATATTAAAAATGTACCTTTTGTTATGGTGCAAGTAACATTCAGTGGACCATGGTCCATAGAATAATTTGCCGAATTGAACCTATTGGATTGTGAGAAGAAAAATAAGAATTCTTCCCAGAAGCAGTTGTGATGTGCTTATAATAGATACTAGGCATAATATATTTGCTTTCCCTTGTACCGCTTTCTCTTCTCCGGTTAATAAATACGGAGTAAGTTGTTAAAATTGATGTTCTTCATAATGAATAATTGCACGATTTGACAGAATTTTCAAAACTCGCTTTAATAATTTTTTCTTGTTTTGTCAAATATTATATTAGTGTTATTGAAATAAAAAATATCATTAGAAAGTGCAAACTATTAATTTAACCGCGGAGATGAGTTCATGTAAGAGCATACGATATTTTCAATATGATTTGATCGATTAAAAAAGTTTAGGATTAAAAAATTCTAATTAAGAATAAAAAAATTGAATGTTACATTTATTTGTATGAAAAAAGTAACAATTCAAAATATAGTAGATAAATTTTTACCTTACAAAATGAATGTTTAATGATATAAAAAAAACATATGTCGTTGAAGAATACTTAGATAAGAAAAAGATGACAAGCACATTGTGCTCAGATGGCATGTAGTGACCTCTTCTATATGGGAGATCATGAAATCGGAAAAAGATAAACAGTTGGCTTATAGTTAACATGTTATATGTCTTCAATTTATTTACAAGCACATAAACTGTTAACTATAGGTACAATATATGTCAATAGCAAACGCACAATTTTTGAACTAAGGTCCACAATGCAAGAAAGACCATAGTCTATGATATAACGAGCCCCTTTTAACACTTAAGATGCGTCATTTTAATATTTATTAACATACGTCAGTTATAAACTTAAGGTGCATAAGATCTACACTTAAAATGCGTTATTTTAACACTTAAGGTGCATGATTTTACTACTTAAGGTGCGTCTTTGTAACACTTAAGGTGCATGATTTTACTACTTCAGGTGCGTCTTTGTAACACTTAAGGTGCGTCATTTTAAAAACTAAAGGTGCGCGATGTTTAGACTTAAGGTGCACGATTTTAACACTTAAGGTGCGTCTTTGTAACACTTAAGGTGTGCCATTTTTAGACTTTGTTTCTTCCTTCTAGAAGCGCATTTTTTTTTTTAATTTTCATTGGTTGAACCGTTAATCTATATTTGATCAACGACAAATCTCAACGACACATGTTCGTACCTAGGAGATTTTTCGCACCAGATTTTTCTGTGAGATCACCCTTATAGATAGATGAGATCATGAGATCCCATCTCAATCATCCATTTAATTGTAATTAATGATAATGATTGAATTTAAAGACCCATTTATATCGGGAAAATATTTTCCGTTAACTTCGGAAAATATGGTTGTTTTGGAGGAAGAATGACTTCCGGCCAAATTTGGCGAAAGTCATTTTCCAAACCAAAAAATTATTTCCAACCATAATCGTTTCTGACAACAATCACAACCTTAGTTTTCGCCAAAAACCAAAGCAATTTCGCAATGGAAATCATAGCAGTTCTATTTACTGGTTTCCGCCGAAAATCAGAGGTTTTTTGTTTTAAATTTTCAATTTAATAAATAATATTATTTTTAATAATATTATAAATATTTTTATATTCTAAATAAAACAATTAAAATGTTTAATTATACAATTTACTCATTTTCCAGAAAATGAACCAAACACATCAAGACTAAATATGATCTGTGTGGACCGATCATATTTTGTATATTGTAAAATAATGTACATTCAGTACAAAAATCATGTACATTCAATATATTAAAAATGTACATTGTATTTAGAGAATGTACACTATTTGAGTACTGAAAATACATTATTTTGTATAATATACATTTAGTATATTAAAAATATATTTTTTGTTATGGTCCACACAACACTGTGTGGACCGTTGTGTGGACCATGGTCCACACAATAATTTGCCCACCAAGACGGTTTTCATAATGCAATCAAATACTAATGTCATTTTCCGGATTTCCAAACACACCCTAAAACAAAAACTTTCATTAGAAATGCATCATTCTCATTTTGTTCTATAGTAGATGAAATTTGATCTTTCCAAACTAAAAATCACACTTGTACCCCTTCTGAAAAAATTTCAAACACAGTTATTAAACAGTTCATTTCAAAAATTACACCAATATAAAAATAATATACATATTCACGCCTTCTATCTTTGACATCCAAAAAATTTTCTTCCAAAATCGCGAGTTGTGCAAATTGACTAATTGAAACTTTCAACCCACAACGACAATACATGACACTCATACTCGAAGTTGTTTTGCACACTTGATGATGCAAAAGATGAAGACATTCCAAACCAAGAAGACGAGCGAAGCTAATACAATTTTGAAATGACGAAGCTGAAAAAAGAAGTCGAAGATGGATTTAAGAAGACGAAGTTGATAGGATTTGCTTGCTTTTAATTTGAGTTATACTACATGGACTTCTAACTTCTACTGCCTTACTTCTACTCCCTGAGGTGACAAACAAGGATGGGTTATTTTCATCATGTGGATCCACAAAAAAGTGTCTACATCAAAAACATGTGAAAGAAAGTACAAGTTGGGAGTATAAAATAGAAGTCCAACGAGTATTTTTTTTTTTTTTTTTAAATTATAGCCTTAATATATTTCAAGTAAAAAACCTTTTTTTACTTAAGTTTTCATGTTAGCTTAATATATTGACTAGCAACCTAATAGAACATGGGAAAAATGATAAATGCAAAAAATTTAGAAAGTTTCAAATTAACTTTTATTTTTGACCAAGGAGTTAATTGAACAATTGCAAATAGTAAATAGACATATTTGACACCTCCAACAAATTTTTCACGGCCCCTTTCTCTCTTCTCTTTGATTGGAGATGCCCTTATAAAAAGTATGTGATTAGCTGTAGAGTGTAGTCGAACTTTTTTGTCCGTGTTATTTAGCCAGTTGCAATGCATGATAAATTCAAGTGGATTATTGTAAATGTATTTGCCAAAAGGACCAGAAATGAAAAAAAAAAAAAAAAAAAAAAAATCATGCATCAATAATAACAATTGCTAAAGTCGTGCACCATTATTAGTGAAAGTGGCACTAAAACGTGGTACAAAAGTGAAATTAGCATCTCAAGCGGTTCTTATGATTTATGAAGAATTGAAGAAAGAAATTAGATAACAGGAAGCAAGAATACTAGAACAGCCATATCTCACCCCAAAAAAAGGCTCCACTATTAGTAGAAAATTTGCAACTCAGCAGAAAACAATAACATCCATCCATCCACCCATCACTGCACATATTTCTTACTAGCATAGGCATGTGATTTACAGATCACAATTTCTCTTTACATCAAAAAAAAACAGCAGGAAAAGGTTGCACCCAAACAACCCTTCAATTTGGTCTACTTCTGGAACACGAAAGAGACACATTGAGAGACTGACTAGACTGTACAAAATTCTTCTATACAAACTGTGTTCATTTATGAAGAGGATGCTGCAACAGGTAGGAGAAACTAAAACCTTTTCAGTGTAGTGTTGTTTTTGTGGGTGGAGATTTAGTCAATCGATCAAATCAAAACCAAGTAGTCGTACGTTTAAATTTCGAGCAAGCAATTGAGTGAGTGTTCGTTGATGACTCATTATATGATGAAGTAACTGCTGTCGCACGTCGTGCTTCAATCCCCGTTTGACTCATATATTTTGTTTTTAGCCCTCAATATTGCTTTTTGTGTCCTTTGCCTTTGTCTTCCATTTGCCTCCACCAAACAATCCCTAAGGTTGAGTACAATTTTGGAGAAGTTAAGCCCAAAGGCAAACAAAAATGCAGAGACATTAGTGTAAAGAACAAAAAAAAAAAACCAACATTGTAGGGGGACTTTATTTACAAAAGTGGACATCCAAAAACTTAAACAACTAGTTGTGCACTCAAGGACCAAAAATGCAATTTCCACAACAACAAAATAAATAAAATAAAATAAAAAAATCATGAGATAGAAGAAATTTTTATTATAGCCTATATTTCTTTGCTAAATAATTTGGTCTGTCATAATACTCTATGGCCTATGAAGTATTATGATTGTCTCATAATAGCTTTCTATATTTTCCTCAAAATTTAGGTGTTCTCTTAGTATTTTGATATTCCTCTATTTTATTCCTCATAGAACTTCTATTCCATAAATATAAAGAAAGAAATGGTGATATAAGCAACTATTTTAGTTTTGCTGTATAGAACTCAAATCAGAAGTTTAGAAAGACGTAAAAGATTACAGAATACTATCCACATAGAGCCTCTCAAGAGTCTTGAATGAAAAGAAAAAGACGGAAACATTCTACATATTATCTTAACACGGGCCACATAGGCTTGAAGATCTGAAAATTTATCTTACCACAAGACCCCAGCTTCAAGTAAGGCATCTTGAAAGACAGTCCACCAAGACATGAGCAATGGTCTGAAGAGCAGCATCAACAGCAGCTGGAACGAGCTCAAGTTCAGTGCAATGTACAATGTCATCAACTAGTCCAGAATGTTCAAGAATTTCAGCTCTGGCACTCTCGAAACGACTTAAAACTGAAAACGTTTGCATCACATTTGTAACGATGACAGTTGATGGTTCACTTGCAGGGGTAGATGGTTGAACTACACACATGCAACAGGAAAGAAGATTCGCAAGTAGTTTTATTCCACCATTCAGTGAAGAAGATGCACACCTAAATCAAAGTTCAAAATACTTATTTGTGAAACTTGAAGAAAAGCAGAGATGACACAGAGTCAATTAGCTAGCATGGTACTTACGTCAGCCATATCAGTTCTGAGGCCGCAACAAGAAGCGGTGTTCGATCAGATGAAAGAAAATTGCTTCATCATTATCTACTGTGATTGCATTTAATAGCATAGGGTAGCCAGCATATTTAAATGGCTCCAATACATTCCCATAGCGTCTATATAAAATGCACTGTCCCTTCAGTAAAAGCAATAACCTCCAAGGTTGCAGGCCTTGCAGCCCTTGCATTGTAGCCTAGCAAAAGATGATCTACTCATAAGTTGGAGAGCGGAGACAGAAGGTATAAATTAGCCATCCATAACATGCAAATAGCAACATAAAAGGTCTGACCCAGTGAATAAAAAGGCCTGAATTATGCAAGGGATATACACAAACTTTGTATTCAAAGAGTTGTTTCCAAGGCTTGAACTCAGGAGCTAACAGTGAAAACCTAAGCCACACATCTTTAGAATACATATTCTAGAATGCCAAATAAACTTGATGAGCCAAATATGTTTTCAATATAACCAGAGGCAGTGCTGGAAGCTTTAGCTTAACTAAAGGAAATATATGAATTTTAAATTTGATTATTATATACAATATGTTTCAAAGCATTTTGTAAGTTTTTCAAAAACATATAATCTATAAATAGGTCAAAAGCACCAGCATTGAAGTGCGTGAGCTGCAAGAGAAGTTACAATTCAAACAAAAACACTATACAACTTGACCACAGAAACTACTGGTTAGGAGAAGGGAAAAAACAATTAGTCATTTCAGTCCCTATTGGTCTACTTTTTTAATTATAGTCCTTAGTTATGTCACAATATTTTGTTTTTAGCCCTCAATATTGCTTTTTTTGTCCTTTGCCTTTGTCTTCCATTTGCCTCCACCAAACAATCCCTAAACTGGTCAAGGTTGAGTACAATTTTGGAGAAGTTAAGCCCAAAGGCAAACAAAAAATGCGGAGACATTAGTGTGAAGAACAAAATAAACCAACATTGTAGGGGGACTATATTTACAAAAGTGGACATCCAAAAACTTAAACAACTAGTTTTGCATAACTCAAGGACCAAAAATGCAATTTCCCCCAAAAAAAAAAAAGAAAAGAAAAACGTGAGGTAGAAGAAATTTATTAGTCTATATATATTTGCTAAGTAATTTGGTCTGTCATAATACTCTATGGCCTATGAACTATTATGATTGTCTCATAATAGCTTTCTATAGTTTCCTCAAATTTTAGGTGTTTTCTTAGTATTTTGATATTCCTCATAGAACTTCTATTTCATAAATAGGAACTAGGCCATCATCAAATTTGAAATGTTTGAATACCAATGACTTCTCAAGATATGAAGTTTTCTGTGAATTTCTAGTAAAAAGAGATTTTTTATAGGCATACTTGGGTCAAATTGATAGTTTCATCATTCACCAGATCCCAGTATTCAACTTCCCTCCAGATTTAAAGTTCAGGTTTTTAAAGTTGGCAAAAATAACTATTGGTTAGTGTAAACCATGAGAAAGTGCCAACCTGCAATCGCTCATAGGCTTTCTGCACATCCAGAAACTTTTCCCTCCCTTCAGGATTTTTTTCTGGATGATATTTCATTGCAAGTTTTCTGTATTGGCGCTTGAGCTTCTCTTCATCAATGTTCTCAATCTGTTTTGAGATATTAGGAATCTCGTGTGATTGTTTCTTAGCAGCAGCATCTCGTGATACCTCATCTAAGTAAATCTCCAATATTTTACAAGCCTCTTCTTCAGAAAGATTCATGGCCTACGCGTTAACTCTTCACGCCACATGACCAGCAACGACTGCAGAAATTCAACATGCTCAACAATAGGCCAATTAGGAAATCGAACTTCATCACATAAATTCCGAAGATAATAGCGGTGGCACCACATTTCATCTTTCAGTTCTGGGTACGTCACTGGTGGCATTGGAGCATATTCATATAGAGAATGACAATGTTGGGATAGTTTCTGGGGATAATCACCAAGGTGCTGCAGAACCTGCACAGAGTGACCGCAAACTTAGCTTAGCAGTGGCAAACTGGGGAACCATCATAAAGTAAAATGAGTGTTTGTCACAAAAGCAAGCATTTTCGCATCTTCTCCAATTAAGTATTTGAACCTACCTGACGGATAAGATTTTCAGCTCGCATTTTGTGTGTCCAGATGGTCTCAGGAGTATCAGAATCAGAAACCATTGCTGCAGCAAATGCAGCTGGACCACTACATTCCAATACATAAAGCAAGGATTCAGGTAAAAGTCCACCCAAAACACTGCATTTTGCAAAAGGCAAAGAAGAGGACAGTGCTGCTTCTTCCCCACCATGAAAAGCTTGGTTAACATGAGTCACTGAGAATAGATGAGCAATTGAAAGGAGATTCGATCCAGGATATGCTAGTGCAAAATAGAAAGCCCCAGTACTGTACAGTTTTATCATTGCTTTTGGATTCCTAGTAACAACAGCCTTCAACAAAGCAGCAGCACTCTCTACAACACTTGGCTCACCAGAAAGCATGGCCAACAAATCACATTTTGGAAATAAAATAAAATCAACATTCCTATATCAGTTTTTACCATTCAAGACAGCAATGGCCTCAAAACATGAGGAAGCAAACACAAACACACTTGTCAAAAATAGAGCTCAAAATGTAAATCGGCATCAGAAACAACTTCGATAAGAAAATGATTGATGAGAAAATTAATAAAACCTGTGCAATATGGGGAAGACACCTTGGGCTTGATAAGATCCGCTTGACCCTGGGTGTTGGTGTGACTATCTCCCCAGCATCATCTATGTCTGAGTGTGAGGCCACCATGCTATGCAATATGGATAATGCTGCATCTCCAACCTGGAATGTCAAAAATTTCAGATTAAATTACTTGTACTAGATAAATATAATGTGTGTGTACAGATGTAAGTATGTCTATATGCAAGCATGTATGTACATAAATCACACCCACACATATCCAGAAGAAAAAATCTATAACATACAGCTCCCTACAATGAACAAGAGCAATATTATATCAATCATAGGTTACCTGGGTTGGAGTGAGAACAGGTACTCGGACAGCAAGAGCCCATCTAAGTTCTCGAATATCTCGCAGTCGCTTCCAATCAGTCATCCCAGAAGCCCAACACTTTGTGGTCCAATCTATTTCCTTCTTTGACCAGAATCTTCTAATAGCATCCTTCTCCACTGGTCCAACTTGTGCACCATCCTTGTTAACATACATCCATTCCTTCAATGGCTCCATAAAAGCAGTAGCAGCTATTAAGTTAGACTGCAAAGGTATAGCAGTTCTCTCTGAAGCTTCATGAACTACAGTTAGCAGATCAACAGCTAGTACACAACCACCAACCAATACACATGCCTCTATATTGGACAAAACGTTCATCAATACCTGCAAAAAGGAAAAGTATTTCATTCAGAAAAAGAACCAGCCCCAGGTCAAATTAAAGTTACCTAAGTCATTTCAGCATAGAGCAAATAAAAGCAATGCAATATATCAAAAATTGAAGGAAAAAGAAAGGTCCCAAATATAATTTCAAACTCTCAAATCTCACTTGACAAAATTAAGAGAAAGGTTTCATAACTCTTGGAGCTCATTTTTACCATGAGTAGACACAAAAACAACTATCATCCAGCATACAAAAGAACCCATGGAGACAAGAGAGTAGCACATTGTTTTTTAACTTTCCTTATTTTTTCTATTTTAAACAGAAGAGCATAGTCTGCAGTAAGTTCATTGTTTCACCACAAACACTTAATAATGAACACTCAAATTATTTGGCTTTGCCTCTGGTAGTAGTAGGGACAACAATTACCACTACCAACCAGAATAGCAGAACAATGCAAGCAAGGATGGGAAGGCAGATTGTTTAGAACTTTTTCATTTTTAATTTTCAACTTTAACAAAGAGAAGGATAGAGCAGATTTTTACCACAGCTTCTATGTTCTATAACTTTTTAATGGAGGCAACTCACAACTGCCTTTCAAGATTTAGAATAAGATTCCATATTTCAGATGCTATACTTAATTAAAACCACCATGCTATAGATGCATCCTTAAAAATTCCAAAACTGACACATTTAGCAGGAAAAATGATCACGCATTCCCTTTGCATATTCACATTAGCAAGCACAGTAGTATTTGAAGCAAAAAATCAAGAGGGAGAATAAAGTAATTCGTATAAACCTTGAGGAGAAGAAGAAGACGGTGTCGCAGAGCTCTATCATCAGTCCTGTCCAAGAGCACTGTAATGTGTGCAGCACCTTCAAATGGACCTACAGTGCTGTAGTGCTGCTCATATACAATTGCCATTGCTCGTGCACAAAGCTCCCTAACTGAGGAGGAGCCTCCCACTCCTCCAAAACCATCCAACCTTCCCATATCACACCAATTATCAGAGGCACCCATTTCATCTGGAATAGCACCATCTACAGTAAGGCCTGTACCTGCATCACAAAGGAAGCGATGATACAGAGCTCTAAAAAGAGCAACTGGATCACGAAGGGGGAAATCTTCTGCTCTTCCACTACTACCACTCTCAAGCAACAGGCGAAGATAATACTGACCGACACAAACTTCTTTTCATAAGCTAGGATATCTAACAGAGAACTCAGTGTAATTCCAGGAAATTTGACTAGGCGACGCCATGATAACTATGCCTGCAATGCTTCTCTTAATTCCTGCCGAGTGCGCTCATTCCAAATTAAATCTGCACGGTTGTGATCAAGGCTAAAGGCTCTCCAAAACTCAGGCCAATTCAATACTAACCTTCCACATCCCACCGTTGCATCTTCTACAACTACCTGAGCAGGAGCTGGAAGCCCTGCATTCTGAGAACCATGCTTGCATCAGAACTAGCCACAATTGCAGAATACGGTTCTACTGATTCATATGTACTTGTTGAAAGAGCATCACCAGAAGAAAGAACTGCAGACTGTTCATTTTGCAGGAGACCAATATTGGATGCCTCAGTTCGGATGCTTTCACCTACATTACCTGCAGAAGAATGCATTGGCGGTATCTGTCCAGGAGTTGGTTCTACAGCAGCCTTTTGATAACCATCTTAACTTCTGAAAGGAACAGCACTAGAGTGCTGTGGTTGATTACCAACTCCATAGTTATTAACAGAAGGCAAAGGATGTCCATTAGATGTGATTCCCTTTCCAGGATGGATCCTCCTCTGCTGAAGAAGCCGTCTCTGTCTCCTGCTCAGTAATGAGCCATCCTGATTAGATAAATCTTCCATTGAATTTGTAGCAGACCTTGTGTGTAAATACGCAACAAGGCCAGGAGGTAAAACGCTAGATAACAAATCAAGATCAGGTTGATAAGAATCAGCCCAAAGAGCCACAAGTTGCCGACTGACTTGGCGCCGCTCACCAGCAGGAAGATAAAATGCATGCAACAAATGCCTCAGCAATGGACCATCTCGTAAAGCAGCATCACGCATAGATTCAGCTGCAACAGCATCTTCTTCAGCAATTGTACGCATAATGACAGCCACCGCTTCATGCACACTTTCTGCAGGATGTCCAAACAGGGCAAACAGGCGACGGCGTAACCCAGCTACTAGACGTAATAATTCCACAAACACTGTATATTGAGTTGTCTCGCCGTGTGGTTCACAAATCATTGCCTCAAGAACCTCTACTATAGACATTGACAATAATGGTGATACAGAAATAGGCTTTATCCTGTTCACAAGGATTATAAGATTACTTGATTGAGCATACAACACAGATTTGGTATGCATTACTGACGGGTCAACATATTGGGCATCATAGTGTGTGTGGCAGCAATGGATGATAGATATTGATCTAGTAGTCCTTCCAAATATCTCTTTGGATCCTTTAGGAATAACCTAACATATATTCCTTCAACCTGCAGTGCAAAGAGATTTTAGTCAAAAATAGGAAAAAAAAAACATTATATTGCTCAACAATTCACAATAAGTCTGGCCTACACCAAACAACACCTGAGGTTCGTCTCTCATATCCTGATGGCCAGATGCCTGCTCAGGTACATCCCAATCAACAACACCAACATGACCTACCAGTTACAAAATACAGAACAGCAATATATATAAACAACATATATATCCATAATGATATATATATATTGAATGGGTGGTGTAACTAAAACCTAAACCAGGTTCCTTAATTAAATCCTCAAATTATAGTGCAAGCATGACTGAGAAGCATATAAGTGGTTTTAAAGGTGTTTTCAGTGCCAGTCACTGTAATAGAGGCAGCTTCAATTCTCAGGAAGAAAACAAAATGTGTGGGTAGTGTGAAATTAAATTAAATTTGATTATTACATATACATACATACATATAATATGTTTCAAAGTAAGCACCCAAAAACAAAAGTTTCAAAGCATTGTCAGTTTGTCAAAAATACAATCTAATAAATAGGTCAAATTAAAGTACCAGCTAACATCATTGAGTTCTACTACATAGACTCCCAAAATTCTACTCCCTCATTTATACTCCCTGAGGTGGCAATCCAGGATTGGTTATTTTCATCATGTGGGTCCACAGAAAAATGTCTACATCAAGAGCATGTGAGAGGGAGTCCAAGTTGGGAGTTTAAAATGGGAGTACACCAAGTATTTTCCATATTCAAGTGCGTGAGCTGCAAGAGTAGTTTGAAACCAGACAAAAGTAGGCAACCAAAGACTCAAACAACTCCAATTACACTATTAAATCCTGTATACAAATCTAACCCATCTAAATGCCATCACTGTCGCATCCCTAAATTCCCTCCATTTCCTTGTCCGCTTCTTCCAATGGGCCACAAACTTAGACTTCCCACTCCCGACGGCGGCTTCCACGTGGAAATAGTCCAACAACTGCAGCTCCCAGAACGAATCTGTAGCAACCAAGCTTCGCAACTCCGAGCACACGCCCCTTACTCCTACAATATCTAGTACAGACAGTTTGCCTATAATTTTCAGCTTCAGATCGTCCGGGAGTTCCATGAAGCACGGCGATGGCGGTGGGATTTCACTCAGACCACCCTCGTCCTTGTCATCACTCGGCGGCTTTTGTCTCTCCCTCCCCTCATTCTCCCCTCCAACCCTTCTCCTCTTCTTTCTCCTATCATTTTTAGCCATTGAAGATGACCTTAGAACTTTCTTCCAAAACCTAGGCAGGGCGGCCACAAAGAAATCGACCTCAATCTAGTCTAGTCTAAAGAATTAAACAAATCTATCTTCTATTTATCTATCTATGAGATTAGCAAAATAAAGTAGATAAAAAATTTCCCCGCCCAAATGAGATTAGCAAAATAAAGTAGCGAAAAAATTTCCCCGCTCAAATGAGATTAGCAAAATGAAGTAGGGAAATAATTTTGTCAAATTAGCAATATAAATGTATTTATTGTGTTCACATTTATTCTTAAAGTTTTATATTTAAAATAAAAACATAATAAGTGTGGATGAAGGTTATACATTTTATTTATGTCTGTTTTTTCTGTTAAGTTTTATGATACAGTATACTATAAATATTGTATTATATTGTATTATAAATATTGCAAAAGATGAAGACATTCCAAACCAAAAAGATGAGCAAAGCTAATACAGTTTTGAGAAGATGAAGCTGGAAAAAAAAGTCGAAGATGGGTTTGAGAAGACGGAGTTAATAGGATTTGCTTGCTTTTAATTTATAGTCTTAATATATTTCATGTCAACAACCTTTTTTTAATTAAGTTTTCATGTTAGCTTAATATTAACTAGCAACCTAATAGAACATGGGAAAAATGATAAATGCATGAATTTTAGAAAGTTTCAAATTAAATTTTATTTTAGACCAAGGAGTTAATTGAACAGTTACAAATAATAAGTAGACATATTTGACTCTTTTGCCAAACAAAAAATAATAATAATAATAACTTTGCCAAAAGGACCAGAAATGAAAAAATAAAGGAAAAATGGTCAAATGCACCCTTAAATTATAGGCAAAAGTGCAATTAAATCCTCAAACTTTACAAAGATACAATTAAACACTCGAACTTGTTATTTTGGTACGTCTAAACCCAATAGCATGTTAATCATCTGAGATAACTAGTCATCCAGATTCTGGCAACATTGCCAAAAATAATTCTGGCAATAAACAATTCCGGCAACAATAAAAAAAATTTAAAAATAATAATAAGTGGCCTAACCGGAGAAGACAACTGGCGGTTGTCTTCTCCGGTGAAGGAGCGACCAGATCTAGTCGCCTTCTCATTATTACAAGTTTGAGGGTTTAATTGTACATTTTTAAAGTTCTAAAGTGGTGCACCATTATTAGTGAAAGTGCCACTAAAACTTGGTACAAAAGCGAAATTAGCATCTCAAGAGGTTCTTATGAAGAATTGAAGAAAGAAATTAGATAACAGGAAGCAAGAACAGAACAGCAGTATCTCACTCACCCCAAAAAAAAGGCTCCATTATTAGTAGAAAATTTGCAACTCGCAGAAAACAATAACATCCATCCATACACCCATCACTGCACATATTTCTTACTAGCATAGGCATGTGATTTACAGATCACAATTTCTCTTTACATCAAAAAAAAAAAAAAAAAAGATTTAAAAAAAAAATTAAACAGGAAAGGTTGCACCAACAACCCTTCAATTTGGTCTACTTCTGGAACGCGAAAGAGACATTGAGAGACTGACTAGACTGTACAGAATTCTTCTATACAAACTGTGTTCATTTTTGAAGAGGATGTTGCAACAGGTAGGGGAAATTAAAACCTTTTCAGTGTAGTTGCAATGGAGTGAACAAAAATACGGATTGTATAAATATGGTCAAAAGAAAAAGCAGTCACATATGGTCTCAGTACTACAAGCAAGTTAAAAATGTGGTCCATGAAAGAGAAAATGATCCACATCTTCTACAAATAATATAAGACCCACTTAGGGGACCAGAAATCAGAAACACAAAAATGCATGAATATCTTAGAGAAGAGATACCCATTTGTGAGGAAATGATTATGGACATTTCTACTATACAAATGGACCATGAACCATACAGATGCAATCCTGCTATCTAAATCTACGCACCTCAATTGCAAGTACTCGGCCGATGGATGCTTCAGACTCATTCCACTTCATCTGAGACTCTGAGAGCATAGTCCATTTCTTCCCCCTGCTCTCCAATCCAGAAGAGCAAGAAGTATATCAAGACCAGCCCTAAAGAGATTGAATAGCTTATCAATAACCAAACAAGATGGAAGAGCAACATAACTATAACACTTTGAAGAATTGGCATTACAATTTGTATTTAAGTATTATGCTATCAGTGGTTACATGTGAAACATGTCCCTAATCCTAATTTGGTCAAGCATAAACCTATTCTAAACCTGATGCCAATCAACAAATTAAATATTAAATACTTTACTTAACAGGAAATATGTCACTAAATGCAATAATGGCATGAATATCAATTTTATGCTTGCCATACAGACTTACCTGGCATTTCATACCCATTTCCAGAAGCAGCAAGTATAAGAAAAAACAAAGTAATGCACATGAAGATGAGATAGGTTAAGGCATACACATGAGAAATCTAGCATTTCATATCATTGAGAATCCATAGAGCATATACTCACTTGAGTCCTTGAGAATCCAGCAAGTTGATGCAAGACTCGTAAGCAACTAAGACGCACACGCTCTTGTGGAGTTGGTGATGGGAGCTTTGCAGAACCATCCTCTGGTTCATATGCTTCATTCGAATGATCAGCATCTTTCACCTCTTCAAATGCCATAGTTTCTCTTCTGCTTTCATATACCACTGCAGACACAAGTTTGGGCACATATCCAAGATATCCGACATGATCTGCAAAAGCAGGGTGTACT